TCTCTCTCTCTCTCTCTCTCTCTCTCTCTCTCTCTCTCTAATGTGTGAGTGTTTTGTTGGTGTGCATGTGCATGTCTGTGTACCAAATGCATGCTTGGTGATCACAGAGGTTGAAAGAGGGCATTGGATCCCCTAAAACTAGAGTCACAGACAGGTCTGAACTGCCATGCGAATCTGTGAATCCTGGAAATTGAACCTGGGTCTTCTGGAAGAGAAATTGGTGCTTTTTTTTTTTTTCTGGTTTTTCGAGACAGGGATTCTCTGTGTAGTCTTGGTTGTCCTGGAACTCACTCTGTAGACCAGGCTGGCCTCGAACTCAGAAATCCGCCTGCCTCTGCCTCCCAAGTGCTGGGATTAAAGGCGTGCGCCGCCACCGCCCGGCGAAATTGGTGCTCTTAAATGCTAAATCATCTTTCCTGCTCCTACACCTGGACTTCTAAGAACCCGAGGGACATCTTCACCACAATGGTCCACATGCCTCATTAAAAACATACCCACAATTCTACAGAGGTCCCCCCACCGCAAACTGCCTTTATCCTGTCATATTTAATGTTCTATTAAAATAGATTGAGTACAAAAGCCCCAGATCCAGAAGTCTTTTTTCTCCTTCAATCTAATTTTCCATTTGTCATCAAATCCTGAGCCCAAGTGTCCAGTCACTTTTCCTCACCAGCTTGTGTTGGCATCACTTAAGCAAGCCTTTCCCTCTCTGCATATGGGCTCCTGAACATTCCAGAAGTTGGGGAGCCTATGCTTCACAACATGCTGTCCTTAACGTTTGCAACACTATCCTTTCACTTCACATCTACGTGTGTATTATCGAGACCAAGGTCGAAAGCCATTGTCTTCATAAAAGCTTGAGCTGACTCAGCTCTTCAGTCTACTCTGACTCCACGTTTGTGCAGCTCTGCTCGTGTCCCCTATGAATGGCTGTTCATCTATCCTGTAAATGAGTTAGGTTCCCCATCTATCAAACCCGTCTTCTGTACCATCACGAGCAATCCGAAGTATTGATCCCACAATGCTAGCTCATTGACAAAAGACCCCATTGTTTGTTCCTCATTCTCTACAAGACAGAACTTCCTGGAGTTGTGGCTGAATCTGTTCAGAATGTGGCCCAACCTGTGCATCTCCATCACTATTCTTTGTGGCTGGTCCCTAAATGCCTGGACCTGCGTTCTTTCTCTCACCTTTATCTTTCCTCCCATCTCTACTTGCCCAATCTTATTCTTTCAGATCACAAAATCTCTTTTCTTTACGTCTCTGGGAAGCATTGTTTTCTTCCGTGTTTCATGACCTTTGGTTATTCATCGTTATGAGGTCGGGTCTTTGTGCAAAGGTTACAGAAGGCTGAACAAAGACCTGTCTTCATTTGAGATTCCACTCTCATAGAATGCTGTACCTGGCAAATGGCATCTCTGAGTAAGGAGAACTGAACACTAAACAAAATAAACTCTGGGAGGGAGCCCAGTGGTAGCTTGTTCGCCTAGTATAAACAAGGCCCAGGATTTGATCTCTGGCACTTCAAAAAAAAAAAAAAAAGAAAAAATATGAGAAAAGATAAGGCAATAACATGTTGATCTTTATGTTATTCTTGTGCCTTTGCTAATCTGAAAGTCAAGATAAGATACAGGAGCTTACCCAAACCAGTGAGTGAGTGGAAGCTAAAGCAGAAATGTGTACACTTGGAGCGAAATTCTTCATTCCAGTGCTGGCCATAACCTTGAGTTGGTATGTGACAGTCCACCCACATTGCCTATATTTGAAGAAGGGAAGGGTCTGCTGGGCCTTTCATCTGGGCCACCCATGCCCTGGCCATGCACAATGCCTTCCTTGCTCGTTCCCCACATACTAGACTTCTGTGCTTCCTTCCACATTTGTTCACCTGAGTGTGGGGTGGGATCTTTACTCTTCCCTTTGCAGTGAACTTGGAGCTCTCTTCTGTTGTTTAAATCATTCACATGTCACTTCCTTGTGTCCCGCCCCACCCCTTTCCCTAGCTTCCCAGTCTGTGGTCCCCTTGTCTCTCACAGCATCGTGCTGTGTTTTCTCCATAGTTCTGGAGATGGCTGCCTGTTCCTTTACTGTTAATAATTTGTCTCCCTCATCAGATCATGACATCTGAGGATGAAGGTCTCATCTGCACTAAGTTTCTGTCATATCCCCTCTCTGTACTTAATCACTACTTGTTGGAAGCATATTATTACAAAGGCATTTTGGAAATGATTTGATAACTGTACAAATAATTTTATATAACTTGGCAGTTCATTCTTAAGACTCCTAAATTTATTTCAAGTAAATATGCTACTATATGAGACCTCAGCAGGTAGAGCCTTCCAGAATACTATCGAGGGAAGGCCAATAACAACATGAAAAAATATGAAAGTTCTTTTTCTGTAGTTTAATATTTTTAAATGTACTGTATTTTTTTAGTGTGTGTTTGTGTGTGTGTGTGTGTGTATGGGGGCATGTTCATATGGATGTCAGAGTGCTACTGTAGAGAAAGAACTCCCAGATTCATCTTGTATAGCTGCAGAGATTGAGACACTGGGAACTAAGTCATTTGTCCAAGGCAGAGAAGTGGGAAGTGGAGGGTTGGCTCTAGAGTCTATAATTTTACCTATATTAAAGACCAAAACATGTCCTTAGCTGAGCTTTCATTCAAAGGGGGAGGTCTCTGTTATCTTCTTGTGACTATCCTGGCAGGAAAGAAGACATTTTAAAGAGAGACATCCGTACTATCAGACTACTGAAACAATAAACCACAAAGAATTATAATTGCCTTAGTAATTCCATACTGGGCATGGGCAAGGCCGACTTCTCATTCCTTCCAGAAACTTGCCTGCCAGAAAGATTCCACACACTTTTCTCCTAATTTATTAGACCACCTCTGAGGACAGACCAGAGCCAAGACAATGACGGGCAGACTCACATCTTGCCCAGAGTTGACCGTAAAGGAAGTCCTGATCTCCATGCCCAGCTATCTCCAATACATCTACTTTTTGACAATAAGGACAGCAGATGTGGGTGGCCATTCTTAAGGTTTCCCCAGTAAAGCAGCAGCTGGATCAGCCACTCCACCTCCCTAGAAGCAGCACATCTGTACTGGCTGCTTACAGAGAACAGAGCCCTCAAACGCCCTGTCCCTTCATGGTCCTCACTCGGCAAACCTCTCTCTCCCAGCCTCATCTTCCCTGGGCACTGCATAGAAACTCATTGATTAGTGACTGTTTAGCCCATTCCCACTTTTATATGGCTTTTGTGCACCAAATATTTCACCAAGTCCCTATCTTCTGACATCCTTTGGTTCTGGATTCAAAGGACAAGTGTGTGGACATATTACACAACATCTTATCTTCCCATCTGTAAAACTGCTTGAGATGAAGGTACTTGAAAAACTGGATCAATGCGGGGGGTGGGGGGAAGGGGGAGACGGGGTCATCTAAAGTCCAGTATTTTCTGGAAAGAATCCCAATTTTAGTTTCTCCAAATCAGCAAGGAAACTCTTAAGATTTTTTTTCCATTGTATATACCATTTGACCAAGAATCTGGGTAGGAAGTAAGTTTCACTGGGTTGCACCAATGAAATGACACCAGGTCCTTGGACTGGCTCAGGGAAGCATGGGGGCTAGCAATGTGGCTGCAGCCTCTCTTATAGACAATCCCCAAGATCTGGTAAAACAAAGAAACACACACTGGCGTTGTGAAAGAGTGGAGTCGCTGAGAGCGCAGGCTCTTTTCTATGTAAATCCAAGAAATGTCAATAACCTCAAAACACACAGAATGAAATCACTGTTTAAACAAACAAAAAAAAATGGATATTCATAGGTAGTAATCTTACATAAAAAGCATTTTAGAAGTTGAGAAAAGCTGGGCTGTGGTGGCGTATGCCTTTAATCCCAGCACTTGGGAGGCAGAGGCAGGTGGATTTCTGAGTTTGAGGCCAGCCTGGTCTACAGAGTGAGTTCCAGGACAGCCAAGGCTATACAGAGAAACCCTGTCTTGAACAAAACAAACAAACAAACAAACAAACAAACAAACAAAAAACCCAAACAAACAAACAAACAAAAAAAAAAGAAGTTGAGAAAAGAAAAACAGACTCCACAATTGTAATAAACTATTAAGAGCTTTTGATCTCACCTCCAACACTTTTTCTCTGCACCTGAATTTTAAATCTACCCCTGGACCATATGCATTCAGGCAGTCTTCAGTTTGTCTGCTGGTCATGGTACAATCTCTGGAGACTTGCTTTGACTTTAAAAGCCTCAGTTCAGTGATCCATGAGTGCATGGTGATACCCCTTCCTTAATAAGCAACCATTTCATAAACAAGTAAGAGTATTCACATCTGAAGATACTCTGGACTCTAAAATGTTATTTTGTGCTAAGCTTTTTTTTTTGTAAAAAGTGACATTCTCTCTTGGTTATGAATATGATATATGT